TCTGAGGTATGAGACTTCACTTGCGTTGACACGGTCGCGGCTTCCCATCTAGCCAAAAGTTCGAAGTCTGCTGGAACTGCAGCATTGTCTGGCGAAAAATTGAAACGAAAAAAATACCAAAATCTTGTTAACAACTATCTGTTCCATTCAGTAGATAGCGGTTGAAACTTTTGGTGTTTATGGCCCGGAGTCTCTTTTATTCGTTCACTAACTCGGAAGGAGATTAGGCCAAGTAACGAAAGATTACTATTTTTTTACAGAAACAATCAGTATGGCTATCCAACGTGGTATTGCTGCTTCGGTCGTTGGAACTATTTCTCCTTCACATAATTTTTATGTGATCATGCATTGCCCTCATTTCAGTACGGAACTGAAGTATCTTCGAAACAAGCCGAGATATGTATATATTCATCAGTCTCCTATCAAGGTAAATTCGCAAGTGATTGATCGACCTTCATTTTCAGTGCGGTTAATGGATATAGGTCATTCTTGCCCCCCAAATATGAGCTGCAGTTCTCGTGGTTTTGGTTCCTTTTCAGTGGAAGAGCGAAACCCTTCATCACTTGGAAGGATCGATTGCAGCTTGAGAAATTGTTCTGATTCAGATTCTGTGGAACATGTTCTTCCTCACGAATCAGTAGACAGTTGTCCTGAAACTCTTGCGAAGAAAATTGGGTGAGATAATTTAGGAAACACTTGCTACATGAATAGCATTTTAGAAATGTTGTTCATGACGAAGAATTTCAAGAAAGAGGTTTTAACGATGAACGAGAATATTTCCTACTCATTCATCAAACTCAAACACCTGTTCATGTAGCTGTAGTTTCGTAAGAATGTATAATTTTTCCCACCAACCAATTTCCTAGAGTCTTGAGTCCACTAGATACTCGTTAGGACAACAAAAGGATTGTTCCGAATTAATGAGGTTCTTGTTGAATACTCTTCGTGAGCAGGAAGATAGCAGAATCAATACTCCTGACCTTTCTGGATTGAATGATTCCAGTAGAGTCTGTCTCGTCGTGTGCTTATAGATCATTTGCTGGAAAAATCCTCACTGGTTTACTTTGTAGTAAAAGTGGATAAAATGGATTTTTAAATGAATTCCATTTCTGTCAAGAAGTGAATGGTGAACAGTATTGGGAAAAACTGGAGAAATTATGATATTCAACTTTTATTTTCAAATAATTGAAACGAACATATACCTGCTGATTAATCAGAAAAGGCTAATCCGATTTCCGAAAATAAAACAAAGTTAAATACAGAATTGAAATATATTTCATATGAGATATCACAATAACCCCCATTTCATATGAAAAAAAAGTTGATAGGGCCCGCTTGCCGTCAAGTTCTGCAATACTATTGCCCTTCTTATGAAAAATTTGCAGAAATAATACTTCGTTCGACTTTGATATCTTGTTCGATTCAAAAGTTAGGTAGAGGGGACTTTTGGCGCCCGCAATGTATTAATGTAATTTCGGTAATGCTCTTTCATCCGATGAATTCCACTTTTCCTAGTTTGGAATGCAAAATTGAAAAACTGGTATTACTGCCCAAGAGGAAATCCGCAATTCATCCACGTGGTTCACAGGAACTTTTCATTGTTAATCTTCAGGGCGGAATAAGTGGATTACGAATTTTACGGTTGGTTTTTGATGATAGCTCCTTCAATGATGTAGCGAATGTAGAATTCATGAAGTATTTTGAACAATCATTCGGCTGACTTCGACCTCATTGGTAGGCCTAGGTTTTCTGACCCACCCTCACTGATTTTTTTCTCTAAGGTTATCTGAATAATTAATTAATTTATAGGGTATTTGGAATAGAATGATAAACTTTTAAATCATAAGAGGTCCACACATCTTGCTTTATAAACCAATGGGTAGCTGCGCCCATTCAAAAAATGCTTTGAATGATCCAGAATTTACCGAAATATTCCATAACATTCGATACTGTTCTGGAATGTTCCACCAATATCTCGGATGAACAGTGATATTCCTGAACGTTACAGACCGTTCCACAAGATTCCGAATGTTCTGGGCTGTTGTGGAATGCTCTCGAATACTCTCGGGTGTTCTGGACGGTTGTACAAATTTCAAGAGGACATAAATCTTCTTCTTCATATACCTTTGAAAGCACACCTTTCAGGTAAAAACAACATTAACCTTCTATATGAATAGGTTATCACACCACTCTTTATTGTCGAACGTACAGTGAATACCATATGAGGTACAAATTAGGTTGGATTAGGAAAAAGTTGCCCATTTTGGAGCTTATTCAGATGATTTTTAAAATTTACACTAACTAGATGATTATGGTGGTACACCAAGGAAATTTTCGTCAAAAAGGCTAACATATACCGACAAAACGTCGAGTGAAAAATATGTAAATGCCATTTTGTACAGTTCCAAAAAAGTGGCGATGAGAAGGTGTTTTCAATATCTTCTTGAATCAAAATTGTTTTTTCCGAATAATTTCCAAAATAATCAGAGTTTCGTAAATTATAAAATGTCATTTATATAGTGTCATACATGAAGTTCGCGACATATGGAAGTTTTTTTTCATAATAGACAATGATAATTTGATTTCGCAGAAAAAACAGCCTCTTTTCTTTTGTCATGTGCTACTTCTAAACCTGTCAAATTTGACATTTTTTCGAAAATCCTCAAAAATTCATTATTTTTGGAAATTTAGAAAAGTGACTTCAATTTTATACCCTTGCTCGAAATTTCGACTCTCCACTGCCACTTCGACTTTTTTCCAATTTTTTTAATTTTTCGAATCTTTCGCTCCATCCATTTGAACGAAACATGATTCAAATTTCATAATTTTGATGAATACGAGACTTCAATGTCATATTTTGCTCAGAAAATACTCGCGTTGGCCTGTTACCAGAAAAAGAAATAAATACACCCCCACAAATTCGTCTTTGTTGTTGACCCACACCACACATTTGTCTTGAATGAATATTTGTCACGGCATTCTATTACAAAATTTGGATCATTGTTGGATCACCAGCGACAATTTTGGAAACTAACTATTCCATTCGACGTGAAACTTGCCTCATCTGTCCATAAAATACTGTAAGCAAATGCAAAATTCTTCTTACAGTTTCTCTGCCAATCCCTGTATCTTCACTAATACTTCTAATATTAGTTTTTCCGTTTCAACAACGCTCAAACAAACATTGACTTAATTTTATTCAGTATACTTTATTCCATTATGTGGTTTTTTGAAACGATTGTCCACAGAGCCAGTTTCTTTGAATGTTTTCAAAATCCTTTCCACGTAAAGTGAATATTTCTTCCTGGATGCCGATGATGGAAAATACAAGCAACATCTCGATATGGCACATTCTCACCACATAAAAGAACGATGCCCACATTGTCTTATGTGGACAACATTGTACATAAAACTCACTTGTGAGTTATAAATATACGAAAATCTGTACACGAAACAATACGAATCATTAAACGCAATAATTTGACATTGACCAAAACTAAAAATTTGTTTCAAAAGCCTACTAAGGGAAAATTTTATTTTGATTTGATCAGTTCCTGCTATTTTCTTCCCGACATGTTGCATTAGTCTTGTAATGTTTAAAACCACGAAATTTCGGTTGTTTGTAACTGAATTATTGGTCAGAAAAATAATCAAACTGAATAAAAATCTATTAAAAAAAGGAATACGAGTGTAATAGGAATAAAGAGAAATACGTTTATTCGATTACTGGCATATTAACGTCCATGCACTGAGAATTCGAATCAGTTTAGCAATAAAATAAATTGGACGAACAACAAAGACGAATTTCTGGGGGTGTATTCATTCCTTTTTCTGGTTAACAGGCCAATGCGGGTATTTTCTGGGCAAGATACAACATCGAAGTCTCGAATTCATCAAAATTATGAAGCTTGAATTATGTTTCGTATGAATCGATATAGGCGAAAGAGTCGAAAACTTTAAAAAATTAGAAAAAAGTGACAGTAGAGTCCAAATTTCGAGCAAGGTTATAAAATTGGAAACTGGGCAACTTTTTCCTTTGGTATTTTTCGAAATTTATGAAATAAAACTGAATTTTTGAGGATTTTCGAAAAAATGTCAAATTTGACAGGTTTAGAGTAGCTCATGACAAAACGGAAGAGGCTGTTTTTTACAAATTTTCCAAGCATAAACTAATTGCCAAGTTCATTAAATCTATTCATTATATATCATTATATCTATTAATAAAAAACACTACTATACGTCGCGAACTTTATGTGTGACACTTTATAAGCTCCAAAATGGGCAACATTTTTGAAATTTAATGTATCTCCCACAATTTCCGATTCTCCCAGGGGGCTCTCCTTATCTTGGACAGACAGTATATTGATTATCAATGTTGTGTTGAATTTTTGAATTTTTTCATGTATGAAACAAATAATTCGGTACGTGATCAAATAATGATCTATGACGGCATGTGCCTGGTATTTGTTATATACATATGTAATGATGAAAAAAAAGAAAGAAATACAAATTATGAAATTATGAAACAAATCATAGACTCATCAGTCAAAACATGTTTTACATTAAAAATACAGAACAAAAATTTGAATGTTTCAGTGACCTAAAAGACTGCGAAGTTCTTGCTTTAAAAATTTCTCTAAGACTGCATTTATTCCTGCCAGTAACAAATCATCCATAATTAAGTACATTCCTTTTTCTTGAATATGCACTTTTCAATTTTATTGAAATTTATTGAATTTGAAACTTATTTCTTCAGACTTACATTGAAATTCTGAAATATATCCAATTATCCAATATATCTTGATATAACAAAAACGTTTTCAAATATTTATTAGGATATCCATACATTGGCTCTATTCTTTCTAGGGGAACAAACGAACCATCTGATCTGGTATTCAACTACACTTTACATTGACCATCAAGAAATAGTTACATTAGTTAGTCATTTCGAAACTGGGAAGAACCTAACAACGACAATTAATAAGAAGACACCTACTCACCTTTATTGGGTGCACTAGAACATTCGCAGGTGAAATGACTAATACAAATGAAAAAAATTATCATCACTTTTACATAATTCATTTCGTCTCGGATAATCGAACCACACAACTTATCGAACTGTAGGTCTTGAGTCGAGTGAACCGAAATAAATTGTGGTTCTTGGAGGTTTTACGCCATTGCCATGGCCGTGAGTGCAGAATATGCCACAAAATGCTGCGGTGAACCTTGTAATGAATATGTAGACTAGATGATTCGAGAGTGCTGATACTGCATCATTATTTGTATGATTGATTCGGAAGAAAGTTGATTGACCAGCAGAGGCGTAGGAGAAATTTTGTCTCGCAGTTTACAACTTGTTTGAATTTAAAATACCTCACGGAAGAAATAAATTGTTAAGATTTCTTCGTGAAGGTGAGATTTATTCTCGATTAATTCCCTTGATTGTAATTAACTGTTGTAGACTAGTTCAACCGATTAAAATAAATATAAATCGGTGCTATATGTAATAATGTAAGTATAATAATAATAATAATCAGCGTAGGCGGTCCAGCATAATATGCAGTTTCAGGATATATCTTTCGACATAACGCGACCCTAAGACACCAGTGTTGCCCTACGCAGTCCATTGTGGGGAACGAGACGTGCGGCATTGATTGGAACTATTCGCTCCCCACCCTCAGGGTCATAAAAGCAATGAGCCTGATGTAGTTCTTCTCGAACATCAGGGCAAAACAAATTTGCCGTGGAGTTTTCAGCTCCTGGCGAGACAAATATCGTCCGAAAAAAGAAAGAAAAACTGCTAAGCGCTTGCTTAGGGCATATGATTTTCGGATCCAACTATCACTCAATCCACGATGTGGAGGTAGGCATTGGTTAATAATGCTGGAGAGTCCCCTCGACTGTGTTGGACCTTTGTGAACAGGACCCATCCAGCTTACACTCTGAGAAAAAATGATGAAAAGCGTCTTTATTGTTCACACTTAATTGAACAAAATTATAATAAAGAAAGGTAAAAATCAATGAGTATAAGTTGATAATAAAAGGCTAATATGGTGCACACATACAAAACTGAAAAAAGAATATAAAACAATATCGCTGGAGCTAAAAAACATCAAGTATGACCAACATCAGTGGGCGATCTGTGTTGATTTCAAGATGGTGAACTTTCTCCTGAGACAACAAGGTGGCTATACAAAATATACTTGTTTCCTGTGTCTTTGGGATAGCAGGGCTGAGGACCAACACTGGAGTAGAAGAAAATGGCGTTTTAGAGATGCTTTAGTTCAAGCACAACCTAACGTAGTTAACGAAGCATTGGTCGACCGACAGAAAATAATATTACCTCCGTTACATATTAAACTAGGGCTGATGAAACAATTTGTAAGGGCCCTAGACCAGAATCGTCCTTGTTTTGAATACTTGTTCAGCAAATTCCCTGCACTTAGTAAAGAAAAATTTAAAGCCGGAATATTTCATGGGTCTCAGATACGACAACTTATAAAAGATTCGCATTTTACAGAATCGATTACTGAAATTGAATGTAATGCATGGTGCTTTTTTGTGATAGTTGTGGAAAATTTTCTTGGAAATAATAAATCGGAAAATTACCTGGATTTAGTGGAAGAAATGCTCAACAATTTTAACAAACACGGTTATTAAAATTCATTATCTGCACAGCCACTTAGACAGTTTCCCAAAAAATCTTGGGGACCTTAGGCAGGAACAAGGGTAACGCTTCCACCAAGATATAAAAACGATGGAAGAGAGGTATCAGGGGAGATGGGACACTCACATGATGGCGGATTACTGTTGGAGTCTTCAAAGGGACCGTCCTTTTGAAGCCTTTGCAAGAAAATCATATAAAAGGAAGTTTTTAGGTGACGCCGAATAACATATTTGTGCTGCGATGATGGTTAGGTTACATGAAAAGTTAAATTCTGTGTGATGTGTGATGATTTTTGTAAGTATATTGTTGTACAATAAATATCATACTTTTTATTCGTGTTTCGTTTATTTGACGAGTAGCAGCATTACATATATGTAGGATTTTTTTCAGCAGACCCTAATTACCTAGAAACGGTAAAAAAATTTCTGGCAGCAAACTGTGTGTTTACCAGTATAATCAGTAATGTCGCTGATAAGCCATGCTCCGCATATAGAGAATAAATCGAATTTATAATCTGAAATATGTGGCTTCAATTTCTGAGGGAAGAGTAACAGTGATCCTATATTTTGACATCCTTTTTTCATATTATATCTTTTTAACACTCTCTAATTCATCAAATGGAAAAACAACTGTAGCGATTTCAAACAATAAAAAAAGGCACGAAAAACAATTTGAAGACCAATTCTTCTTTTTCGATAAAATACACTCAAAAACAAGAACTATGGATGTTAACGAAGTAGATGTTCGAAATGTTCACCGCGACATCCTAATCACAAATGAAACTGTCTTCTAACATTATTTACATATCAGACGTGACCGACCTAATCGCAAGCGTTATTCGTTTTTTTAAGTACCTAATTCAAATCAAATAATTCAGTTTTGTACACATTGCTCTTTACATATTTCCATAAAAGTAATTCTATTGATGAAAGATCAGGTGATCGCGCTGGCCATTCAACCGATCCTCACCTCCCTATCCATCGATAGGGACCAATGATATGGTTTCCTACAATCCCGGCCGAAACATTTACCTTTTAAGGGTATTGCGTGTGTTCTCTCATCTAGTGAGGATTTTCCGTTGACTAGTAGCGGCAATTTTGCCGATTAGCATGATCGTTAAGAGACAAAGTACACTCATTAGAAAACATAACGTTTTCTAATTGGATGATATTGTTATCCAACATGTCCACAATTTGCTCACAAAAATAAGTTCTTCTATTACTATCGTCTTTCATGAGCTCCCGAGTAGATATCATTTTATAGGGATGCATTTTATTTTCTTTCAATATGTTTACTATCGATATATGGCTAACATTGACTGTACGAGAATGCCTCTCTACTCGCTGTATGTGGTTTTTCCTCAAGCGTCACATCTAATTTGAGTTCATCACTCATTGCGTTGGCCACTGTTTTTTTCATCTGCCCCACATGACCAGGCTCGCGAAACTACTTCTCTATTTTGCTTATTGTTCCTTGAGATATGGGCGGTAAATTAGGAAATTTTTCATGAAATAGGCGAGCTACCTCCTGTTGTGTTCAGGTTTCATCTCCGTAACCAATCATTTGTAAAACTGTTATTTTATGTATTTCAGTTAATCTAACCATTTGTCAGACTTGAAGTTAACAAACTTCAAACTCAAATTAAAATACTGACAACTAATGTTGTAACATACAAAACAAGTTGACAATTTGTTTTAAACTAACGTTGCCACGGAAACTATTTACAGTTTTTTTAAAGGATACCATCTAAAACGAGCATTGCTATGTTTTTTGCGTACTTTCTTATTAGCAATACCTCAACATGAAATAAGTTTTGAGTATATTGAAATGAGTTTTGATTGTATTTTATTGAATTTCGGTAACTACGTTTTATTTTATCTTAATTGTTGCAATAAAATTGAAAGCGATAACATTCCAGGTGCATCCATCAGTACCAACCTTGGAAACAGCAGATTTTATTATTTTGAAAAGTTCTGTAAGTAGGTCTTCTTCAATCTCCACACCAGTGTTCTCAATACATTTTTCGTCCTTATATATAGTACTTGGTTACTAACCAACTCAACCAATACAGGTAATGTTTTGGTTCAATTATGATTTCCAATACGAAAAGATTATTCAATGGCTGTGCAACTTAAGTCAAATTCAATTTTGTCTATATACAAATCACGAACAGCTTCCAAAGAATCTTGATTCTTTCGCACTTTCATTCCGTTATTTTCAATATTTTTACTTCTTATGAACTACTCTTGTTTTTCTTGTTTCCCAACAAATGCTTTTACTAATTTTTCCTTATTTTTCATTTTAGCCCTTTGGAGAATTTTTCAGAGATTGTTTCTGTTTTCGGATTGTTTATGAATACTAACTGCCAACTTTTGTATCTATATTATCCTTAAAAATTCTTATAAATTGAATTGAACTGTCGTCCTATTGGAAAAAAGCTAAGATACTCCAAAATATTTATAAACTGAAGAACAAAAACATGTTTGTAGCTAACGACTTGAGTCCTGAGGATCGGCTCGTCCACAAATATTTGAGAGTAAATCTC